ATAGAGCTTTGGAGGCCTTTTGCTTGTTTCAGCATCCCAAAAATGTCCCCTCTTCCCCATAATGGAGTGTCCCTTTTTGTAACCTTTATGACCTTGACACTAAGTCCCAACCAGCAACAGGCATTAGTTGAGGCAGACCAATCTTTTTAAAAGATGTCAGCATCCCCCAGGGGGAGGAGCAGTGTCATAAAACAGGCTCTCAGAGCTACTTTAAACTGCCCCCATCTCCACCCTGGAGCATGTGTATAGATGCCCCAAGTGCTGCATAGACGGGCATCTTCCCTGAGGCCTTGCTCACTGTTAGTCCAGGCTTTTCTAGGGTCCTTTGGCTTCTGTCAACTGAGCCCTGCTACTCAAGTTCTCAGCAAGAGACCTTTTAGGTAGGTACAAGAGACACTGGTGCCGCCTAGGCCCCTACTGCACTCTCCATTCAGCTTCCTCCAGCTCCTGTGGACAGGTGACTTCCCAGCTCCTGTTGGTCACCTGCTACGTGCATGGGTGCTACAGCCTAGTCAAGGTACTCACTGGGGTGAACAGGAGAGATGAGGCAGGGAGTTTCTGGGAGAAGTTGCCCAATCTCATGGGGAAGAAGCTGCACATGTAAGGTTAGGTAGCAGTGAAGCCTCCAGAGCAATGTCCAGGAGGGAAAGTGCAGGAAAAGTAGTCAGGCCTTGAATTGTGGGAAATGTGCACAGAGTTAGCTGGAGGGCGGAGATCAGGGGCCAGGAACAGAAACCTCATGGGAGAGCAAAGTTGTCAGCAGGGCACAGAGAACAGGAGAGTCTGGCCAGTGAGTAAGGTGAGAAGACACAGATGGAAACTAAACCAGGACAGATGCCTGAAGGAGCTAGTGGACAGGGGAAGAGTAGAGGCTTCTTGCACAGACCCAGTCTGATTCTGCTGTGCTGCCAAGGGGCATCTTTCTTCAGGCTGGAAAGAGTAGGGAAGCCTCCCAGAGGTTTCCCCATGGGCTGCAGCACAGGGTAGGGCCAGGCATCAAGGGAGACCCAGTAGCAGCAAGTCCCAGTGTCCTGTCTGTTCTATGCTTGAGCCTGTGTGCAATGCTGGTCCTCCCTCATTAATTACACTGCCCAGAAATAGGAAGCAGGTAATTGTGAAGGGGTCTGAGTCCAGGGGTGTGGGGAGAGAGGAGTCCAGGACAGGGGGAATTTCAAAACCCTGGAAGGATCCAGTGAGCTGCAAAGAGAGGCTCAAGGGAGGGGCCTGCAGTGCTCCACTGTATTGCCCTGGGGCAGGGCAACTTCCCAGAGCTTTCCCCAAGGGTTGTAGGACCAACATCTACCCAGGAACATCCTCCTGGTAGACAGGTAGCTGCAGCTGTCCCACTGCTACACCTGGGTCCTCAAGGCCACTCTTCACAGCTGCAATGGAGCTCCCTCCCCAAGGGCCAGAGGTGAGGAGAGTGTCCTAGCCTGGAGATGCCTGGCTGAGTTGAGGCTGATGAAGACGCTCTCTGAGTGTTGGACATGGGGGACAGCCCAGCAGGGCCCCACAGGCCACATCTACAGAGTCAGACCAGGTAAGGATCAGTCTGGGCCTTTCCCAATGAACACAGGGGCTAGGCGGCAATGCTTGAGAGGAGGACAAACCCAGACAAAGGAAATTATTGGTTTGAATCTGTGGAAATCACTGCCACGTGGAGTTCCCTGCAAAGACACAGGCAGAAAAGCTTTTCCCTCCTCCTTTATTGGTCAGGGAAAAACAGAGGAAATGGGTACGCCTATGTGCTACCTACCTCCACGTCTCCTTCCAAACAAGAATCTCCTCTTACTCCTTTTGGCAAGCAATTATGGATGGCACAGGGGGACCTGCCTACTACAGAAGGAGTGGCCCTCCAGCATCAAACAAAAGGATTCATTTCTCCTAGCCATAGGCCACATCCTGCACCCCATCCGCCCTTCCCTCCAGCCCTGGCTCTTTTCCACCTGCCTATTATACCAGCCACCCAGCCATTGTTACACCTGCTCCATCCATCTCATCACACATCTAATTCCATCCTCATTCCAGTCAGTGGTTCCTCTATATTTCTTTAATGTCTAAATTAACTCTTCCTCTGCTCACATACTTATTGCTCTTTCACTTGATAACTACTCTAATCTGACCTGGGATTACACCACTTTGAGAGCTGTTAATTGTCCTGTAAACCTGCTTTTGTTCTACATGTTTGACTCTGGTTCTGTTCTGTAAGGGCAGCTTTGTGTATTCCTTATGTGTATACCCTCATTAATATACAAGTCTGAGGGGCTTGCATCTGTTTTCACTGTTAGTGGGCAAGGGTTATGCTGTTTGAGGTTAAAGTGCACAGCTATAAAGGGCAGATGGATCAGATTTTGTGGCCACCAGCTGTCCCTTCCAAATTGTAGGCACATACATTTTGTTGATGCCAAGTTATACAAAGGCCATTAAAAGGTCAAGCTTCACTATAGGCTAAGGGTCGACAAAGTCTGGCCTGCAGATTGGTTTGGGCCTGTGGTGGACTCCATTTCCCAGAAGCCCCTGTCAGTGGAGACCCCAGCAGCAGCTGGGCCATTGAGAATGGAGGACCAGGGTTTCCATGGAGACCAGCCCCAGCAGCACTGGCAGGAAGCAGGGCTGGGTGGGGAGCTGCTCTGGGGTCAGGATCTTGCAGTAGTGACAGCGTGGTCCAGAGCTGGAACAGAACTGTGATGTGCAGCCTGCATGCCTCAGGCAGGGCCGTGCAGGCAGCAGATTGTGGCCCTGCCCCAACTATGGACCATGCTGTTACCACCACAAGATCCCAGCCCTGGCCCTGCAGCTGGAAAATGGAGTCCGGCCACCAGCTGGAACTATTTTGTCCACCCCTGCTTTAGGCTGTGCAGAGGTCTGCAGTGGGGTGGCCCTCAATCTTAGGGCAAAATCAATGTGTGTGTGTGTGGATTAGGGAAGATTCTAGTCAGGTATTATTCCCTGGATAGGATGGGGGAAGAGAAAGCTAAAAGTGAATGGAAACAGAAAGACTGGCTTTTATTTTTTACAAATAATTAAGACTATGCTTTTTGGTGTGGATGGAAAGTGCAGCAACAGACCTAAAAATCAAGAGAAGTGTAAACAAAGTTGTTCTTTTTTTGTTCTTTTACTGTTAGAAGAGTGGTGGACAAGAAGAAATATTGGAAGAATGGGCCGTCATACTTACTTTGAACTGTACATGGAAAACAAAGTTGCAGTTACATAATTGTTGGAGGGTGACACATTTAAAAGAAGCTGACTTATCTTTCAATACTTTTATACAAAGAAAAATCATTCCCTGGATAGCCTTGTTGCTTATCAACTCCTCACGGAGAAGTGCTTGTGAGTACTAGTCCCTACAGGATAGGACATTCAGTGAGAAACTTGACACTCACCATTGCTAAAAGCTGAAATTCTTTGAGCTTGCTCTTCAAGTCTGAAAGACCTGCAGTTTCATAGGCACCCTGAAGAGAAGAAAGAAGGTGCAAGGGAGACCCTGGTGGAGCAGGGGAATGGTAGAGACCCCTGGAAGCAGCAACCAGAGCACTGCTCCCCAGCCATCAGAGCAGCTGTCCATAACACCGCACCCTGGCAGGACCCCCCAGCATCAGAGTGGCAGCAACTTCAGAGCAGGTCTCCCTACCTAGTACTTGCTACTTTGGCTGGTGTAGGGAGTAGAGTCCCCAGAGCAGAGCAGCAACCAGGGTTCAAATTAAACTTCGACTCTTGTGGGGAGGTCTGCAAAAAAATTGGCTGGGGTCGGGGCTGTGTGCACGGGTCCCCACCAGTACTGCAGGGCTGGGGCTGACGGCAGCAGCAGCCGGAAAGAGCTACCGCCACCTGGGCTGCTTTGAAAGGTGCGGGGTGGGCCAAGGGCTGTGTGTGGTGGCGCATGGTCTCCAGGCTGTTGGGGGAGGAGGGGGGAATGGGTTTTGACAGTCCCGCAGGGGGGTTCTCATCTTTTATGGGGGGGCTCAGCCCCCCCCCCCAAGCTCCCCTATAATTTGGACCCTGGCAGCAGGGAGTAACAAGGCCCCTGGGGTGAGCCTCCTTACCCAGAACTTGCTACTTTGGCTGGCATAGGTGGCAGAGCTCCTGGAGGCACTTCTGGGTGAGACTCCCTTTCCGAATGAGTGGAATAGGTAGGAGTTTTGCTGGTGACTGTGACTGAGATCTCTTCTGAAAAACAGTTAAGGGTTAATAGTTATAGAAGGTATATGTTTGCTTCCCTTTCCCCTTGTAATACACCCTGTTTAGTTTAACATTTGTTTTCAAGTGGGGCAGTTTGTTCATGTTAGAATACCCAATTAAAATTTATTTTTCCAGGTTTCTGGGTGATGGCCAAAGCTAAATTTGAGAAGTGGTGTAAAACCCCTAAAGCTGAACCTTTGGATTTGATTTAAATCAAATTGATTTAAATCATGATTCAAATCACTGGTCAGGAAGCCTCAATTTAATCATTGTTTTCTACCAAAAGTGCATTCGTGTTATTTGATATAACCGTAATACATATTATTCACAACTCAGAGACACATGTAGGTTTCATTTTTAAAAGGTACACCCTATACATTTTAAAGCAATGATTTATTTTGCTATTTTTCAGGTTAATCTTGCAGCTGCATCAGGAAACTGAATTGTGACCTTTAAATTGTTTTATTTAACTAGAACAACAAACTTAAGTATTTTGGATATTTTTCTTCAACAACAAACATGTATAATTATTTTAACAAAACAAGCATGTGTATTTTTGAATTTTTAACTATTTTAGTGATGTGAAATGTGTTTTTAACAAAAATTAAATAAAAGATTTCCACCAGGTCACCATGAGAAACTTAAAATATTGGGTTATGCGGAAAACTCAGTCTTCCCCTTCCCCTTCCTGTGTATGCATAAACTGGAAAGACAAGCTTTCCTGCTTTTTCAGTTCCCAAGCAATTTCTCGATTTAGAATGAATTAGTCCAAAGGAAGAAAATATTTTTTCTACACCTATAGAAGAAGCTACTGTAGTTAAAAGATGGATTATCACTTCAATAGTCTCTGATCGATCCAGGTGCTTAAGTGACTTCCACCAGTTTACTGGTGTGACTTTCTTTACAACTTCATCAGCAAACATATTTCTTGAATGGTTCACTCTTAGCCCTGAAATATATTGTAGTTGGTATTATGGAGGGATGATTCCCGGATGCCCATGTCATAGCCAACTCCTCTTCTTCCGCAGTTAAGGATTGACCCTGGTACCAGATATTGAAAATACTGGCAAGAAAATGAGCTGGAAATAGTGCTTGATCCATTTGTTTTTTTAATGCCTGTGATTTAATTCTGTCATTGCATATTTCTCTTTTTAAGTTCTCACTCAGTTCCTTCCAAATTTTAACAGCATCAGCAATAAAATAGCGATTTCTATGCACTTTGTTCAAGGCTACAGAAATAGGCTTCAGGATAGTCAGCATATGTTCTTCTAACAAGAACTCCCCCTCACTGCTTCTGGCCAGCAAGGACTGGTAGTGCAGGGACCCCAACCCCAATACAGAAGTTGCCTTGTGTTTCTCATGCCACTGAAACCCCACCCAAACTCTAGACCTGTGTTTACTCCCAGTGAGTCAATTTACCCATAGTGCACGCAGAGAGATCCCTCCAGTAATTGGCTGTCAAGGACTCTGAAGTCATAATGACCATGCACTGATGTCAGCTGGCTTGGATGACTGTCACAAAGTCCCAGCACAAGGTAACCAGGTGATAATGCTGTCTCCAGCTGCTAGTCTGGTTTGGGTTGGACCCAGCCCAGTTCACTCTGCAGCTCTCTCTTCATGGTCAGTAATTGTAGAGAGCAGGAAAATGCCAAGGCACAGACAAAAGCAAGGATGCTGGAGGGCATTCTGGGGCAACCTGACCTGCTGCTTCCGGCAAAAGAAAAGCTGGTAAAGTCAGTCAGGCATAGATTGACAGGGAAGGGAGGGGAGAAGAGAAAGACATGGGGACCCTCACTCACCAGCCTACGGTTAGGGGAGCAAGGGGTGGGAGGAACTAGCGTGCGGTCTAATTAGCCTGCTCAAACATAGGTCCAATCCTTCTGCTTTCAAGAAAATGGATCCATTTCTCCTAGGAATATGTCTCACTGTGCACTCTTTCCATCCCAATCCCTGCCATCTTTCTCATCTCCACTTGCCTTTTACACAACACCTGGCCAGTGTTACATCTAACTTGCTCCAACTGTTTGTCCTAGCATATCACATATCTGATTCCATCTCTAGTTTCACATCTCATTTTCTATGATTCTATGATTCCTCTGCCTTCCTTTAGTCTGTAGACTAACCTTTCATCTCATCTAATCTATCCTCTGTCCTGAGCTGGGGTTCCATCACTCTGGAGGATGTTTATGACCCAAATTCAGAGTTCAATGAGATTTCCAGAATATAGGCATTTATCAAAAACAGGTACAGCGGGTTCTTTTGGTTATCTTGATTTCAGCATCTGAATATTTCCTTTTATGGGCAGAGAAGCATAAGGAATAGTGTCCACTAATCCTTCCACCCACAGCTGGGAATACACTCCAGGGATTCTGACTCCTGCTCCCATGGCTCTAACCATTTCTCCTTGCACCCCTCCCAATATCAAGCCTTGCATAATGGTGGGGTGATGTCCCCTGTACACAGTGCTTTATCTGACCCACACTTTGCTCTCTCTGCAGGTCCAGGGCTGAGTCCATGGAGTCCTCCATTGCTAGTTGGGACACCCAGCACCAAGAGCGGATTAAGGTGGAGGACTTCTCCCACCTCTTTTACGATGACACCAGCACGGAGGAAGGTGGAGGAGTCATTGAGGTAACAGCTGTGGTCCACAGGGGAGACAGTGAAGGGGATCTGCTTCAGGATGTACCCCAGCTTGGGAAAGAGGACACTGAAGGCAGGGGAGACCATGATAAAATGGCCTGTAGGAGTGACCAGGAAGAGGAGGCCCCTGCCATCCTATGGGGCAATGCACAGGAGCAGCAGGTGGTGCTGACAGAGACAGTAGGCCAGGAACATGAGCACAGCATCCCTCAGACACAGTAGCCTTCCAGGGGACTGGAACGCGGCTGGGGTAGCAGGGATGCTAAGGCGCATAGTTGAGAGCCCAGAGGTTACAAGCTTGAGGCCATAGCAGAAGTACTCATGGTGCAGCCTGTCAGATTCCAGCAAATCTGTGAATTCTGCTAAATACCTTGTCACAAGGACACAAGAAGGAAGGGGGTCTGGAAGATCCTGAAAAACTGTGAAGCCATGCCCAGGCCAAAGGGGACCGTAGTACCCAGCTTCCTGTCACCACCTAGTCTGTGACAAGCAGACTCCCTTCCAGCATTGTTGGCATGAACATACCAGACAGCTTCTCCTGTATGGACAGCAAAGCAGAGCAGTATCCAGCCCTGTGGGGCAGAAAATACAACCACAACTCCCAAAGTCTACCTTTCCTGACTTGTGCTCCTGGAGGTTGTTAGTGACCACCCTCTGCCTTCATCTGTCCCTGAGCCACTGGACCTCCCTTTGAGGGAAGACACCAGGTTCCAAAGGGCACACCAGTCAG